CGGGACGAGGGGGGATACAAGCTCAGCCACGTTTGGGACTGCATTCTCGCCGCAAAAGCGCCACCTACTTTGGCGTTAAATAGCGGCGAGTTGCAGAACTCCAGTCAGAAGCTCTGAGGAAGGTGTCTGATAGACATCGAAACGTAAGCAGGTGAGAACCTTACTGGTTGTGTTAGAAGAAAATCCTATACCCTAAGTATCTTCCAACCTGATGAAATTATTTACGGAGAGTAGTGAGTATAGTTTTTACATACCTGGCCCATATTTTTCATAGAGTTCCATCACTTGTTTGTCCTCCTTCATAGTAAAGGGGCCTCGTGTGATCTCAGGGTCCAGCACATTCACATACCTGTGGAGTCAACAACAGACTGGTATCTAATTCTAGTTTTAGAATGGACCAAGAACTATATTAGTTTATTTGTGTGGGCCTTTATTTCTTCATTATTATGACAGTCCTAAGAACCCACCGCACTTAACGAAAAGAGTAAGGGTCTTTCCCGGTGTGAGTTGTTCAAACCTTGCAGTCTGGTCTTACGCAGCTTGTACTTACATGTGCAAAACTGGTATGTTATGGAGGTTTACCGATTATGTGAAACAAACAAACAGACCTCTCTCTGACTTGTGCATCTGTTCTGCCCGGTACAGATTCTTGAATCTTCCACCAGTCCTTAGCACCAAACTTGGCCACGGCTGTCAGAAGTGCCTGGAGGAACAAACAAACATACGTGTACGAACAGATGCTAGATCAAGAGGACTGCAAGTCAATTCACTGTAAATGCAGAAACGTTCACAGTGTAGACGAAGTAAACTAGAAAGGTAACATTTGCAAAGCAAATGCATAATGTTTACCTTCACATATGGTCTGCTCTGTTAATTCTTACTCAAACACATTCATATATATGGTGACAGGGGTCTAAATCCCTCCTGCTATAAAATTGCAACATGATGTAACCCAACACCAGTTACCATGGTGACAGACGTCTGGTTCAGGTCATTGACCTTAATGGTTTGGAGAAGAAGAAGAGGAAACAGAGCAAAAACAATATAAAAGATGCCTTTTATATTTCAACTGTACTACAATTTTTTATTAAATATTAAATGTGAAAACCCCTTTTTCTCTCCTACCAGAAAATAAAAACTTACAATGTCCTCATCGATGCTCCATTTTCCTCTCACCATGCTGGGGTCCAGAGTCTTGAGCCAGCGATGGCAGCACTGAGAGATGGTCCTCCCCTCCATAAAGTATGCAACTGGTACAAACATAAGAAATGTTAACTTTCTATTCAACTATATACATTAGACAGTAGTAAAATAAATAGTTGTAATGATACAGTACAGATATCAAATTATTTTCCATACCGGTATATTGTGACCAAAAGTCACGCAAAACGTGATTAAAAGCTTAAACTTAAAGGCATCCAATGCATTAGGGCTTGGAAACCTGATTTTTCAAAGTCAATATTCTAGACACTTATCTACATACTGAGTTGAAACCACACTGTCCCAATGTATATTTACCCTCATGGAGCCCAAATACCCAAAATTCTGATGGAAAATAGTTACTGGAAGGGCCCTTGCCTAATTTTTAGGGTACCACCCATAAAATAAAAGACTTGTTTCTGCAGTTTTAAATACCCAAAGGTTGAAATACCGATTTAAATGTGCTAATGTGAAGCAGTATGTGTCAATATCACAAAGATTGCCTTGTTCAGAATATTTCCAGTTTTGCTGCCCTAAAATTGCATTCGATGGCTTGAAAATGCCTGCAAAATCTGTGCACTTCTCGTTTGAATGCAATGCATTTCATTTCTCTCAATACACTTGTAAAAGTATAATGAGGTGTTTGCGTAATAAAAGTGTTAAGAAATAAAAGTGTTGTACTGCATGTAAAATGAGTTGTTGAAGTAGTTAATAGAGATCTGTAATGTAGATGTATATGGAAAATGGATCATGTGAGCCGTCCCACGTACTTTGTTGATATGGAATGTAGTTCCCCACTTTGAGTTTCTCCACCAGTTCTGTCAGTAAAGCATCCTCCTCAGGACTCCATTTCCTGCACAGACAAGAAATCAGACATTTCAAACATTTGTAGGATCTTGGGGAAATGCCTGATTGAATTACATTATAGCATGTATAGTTGACATCCACTCTCAGAATAGCTGGCGAGTCTACAAAGTAGTTGGTAGGTCCTGCTGTTGCCAGGGTTTTCTGGCTCTTCTCCTACATTTTGTAGCTTCAGCAGCAGCTATAAGTTGTTTTATTTTTTATTATCACTTATATGATTGTATGATGATCCCATTAATAGAGTATTACACCATGGTTTATGTTTCATACCGTTATTATACAGTACACATTCCTGGTGACCTCATAGTCATACCACATCCTGCCACCCAGGGCATACGTCTCTCACAACCCTGTAAATCAACCGAAACCCAGTCTCTGCCCGCTCACTTTCAATCACGGCTGAGGATAAGATACCTAAAAACTCCCCCAAAAATATACATGTACTTCCATCCCAGAACTAGAGAGGGGCATTGTACTTAAATAATTATGAATATAGATTCTAAAAGAATTCAGCCACTTCAAATAAAAACTTCTTTATCAAAATACAGATCTTTCCATCTGACAATCCAACAACATGAAAGTTCCTTACGCCTTCTTCAGTTCAGTGTTTATATCTGTCTGGTACTTCCTCAGACACTGGATAGCAGACCGCCCCGTCTGGAAGAACAAAAACAGGACAAACATCTTTAATAACACACCAGCACCTGTTTTCTATGCTATAACTCTATTATGAATTCTGCCAAATCAACACTAAGGCCTAGAAAAATTTGTGTTGTTTTTCTGGTTTCAGTCCTAAAAAAATCAGGGAGGGTCAGTGGTAATTTCCTTTTTTCCCCCTATTTTTCATGATGATGCTGCTGACAGAAAGTTGCTTGTTTTGTATCGAAGGCTGGTTTGAGCTATTCATTGGAACCAAAAAAAAGTAGTTACTGTACTTCATGTATGAAATGATGATGAAGAAGTGCAAAGAAATGGCAGTTAATGTCAATATCAGACAGATTTCCTCTTTCAGAATTTTTTTGTAGTTTTCACTCACTCTCACTCTCTCCCATAGCTTAGTCAGCCGTCGGGGCAGCATAATGCAGCCCTGCAATTGGCATTGGATGCCTTAAAGGCGATTTTAGGGCAGCAAAACTGGAAGTATTCTGAATAAGGCAAACTTTGTGATCTTGGCACATAATGCTTCATATTGGCACATTTGAGTCAGCATTTCACACTTTTGGCTTTTAAAACTGCAGAAACAAGCCCCAAGATGAGTCCTTTATTTTCTGGGTGATACTCCAAAAATCAGCCCAGGACCCTTCCAGTAACCATTTTCCATCAGAATTTTGGGTCTTTTTGCTCCATGAGGGTCAAATATACATTGGGATGGTGTGGTTTCAACTTAGTATGTAGATAAATGAGTAGAATATTGGCTCTGAAAAATCGGGTTTCCAAGCCCTAAAAACTGTACTGGATGCCTTTACATGTAAATAATATAACCTCACCCCCAGTTCCTCAGCTATCTGTACCCAGTCCTCAGCCCCATGTGCAGCAGCTATAGCCTCTAGACGACTGCTCTCCTGCTCTGTCCATTTCTTCTGGTTTACTGAAGGATGCACCACGTTCTGCCACTGTAGCTGGCATCCACTCGCGGTGTGAACACCATCAAACTGGAAAGGAAATAATGTTATAAGGCCATGGCAAGTAATTTTTATGGATGACATCAATAAGCGCATGGATTTTCTCCCAATTTTGAAAAAAAAAACACAAATTCTGTTGCCTTCTTTGGTGTTCAACATTGTGGAAAATGGGTAAATATGCCGTAAATATAAAGCATGTCCATTTCCCTGTTGCATTTGATTCGGAGTCTAGGAAGGATAAAATTTACTTGCTGTGGCCTAAATGTACATGTAGATTCAAGGACAATAAACTAAAAGAAATACTGGTAATTTCAAACCAGACTTTGAGGTTCTTCCTGGGGTGTTGTGACTTCACTGCTCGACATGATGTTGTCTAACAAAATTGTGATGATAGCAAAAAAATTCAGGCTAGCTAGAACATTGCTGGAAAGACTTGACAAAAAGAGACAAATACAGTTAGCTCAAGTTTCTGACTCACATCCACATTAGCAATCTTGTCCCAGTCGTGTGGGTCCAGTCGGTCTCCCAACAGCTCAGAATCGTCCGCACATCTGCAACACAAAATTCAAGTCTATCCTTAGCTCTGAAATTTCTATTCTATACGGTACTGGGCAAAACTCTGGCTAGGGCATCCCATCCAGGATGCACAGCTATTGTGGTCGGTGGGGTGCAATGAATAAAAATGTGCATGACAACAAAACAGAATAGAACATAAATTTATGCGCTTTGTGCATGGCCGCAACTGGCAATACCCGACTTACATCTGTGAGACGGGGTGGCCCAGGTGCAGGGCCAACCCCGTCTTGAATACATTTATGTCAACAGATTGTTGTGTAACTACTAGGTGTTCGGGTAGTGCGTTCCATTCTGTGATGGTTCTCAGAAATTTGTTTATATCCCGGCCACGGTGCAATCTTTAAAACTTAAGAAGAATGAACAGTAGCTATGATAACAGAAACACAAATTTGGTCTACAGAGGAACCTTTGGAAAACTACATTTAAAGGTCAACTGACAACTTATAATGTTACGAGGATGACTCACGTGATCTTGTTGATGTCTTCTCGTATGTCTTGGACCTTCTTCTGTAGTTCCTTCCTGTCCGAACCTTCCGCACCTTCCCTGAGCTTCTTGGTGTAAATCTCGAGTCTGTGGGGAAGACGTAGTCAACACTTCAAGTTAGAAAAAGACAGGAATATTTTTCATTCTGTAAATTTGTCAACATTTCTGCATTCTTCTTGAGATTCTGTAAATTGTGAACATTCATGGTAGTTTTATTTTTGCAGTGATGTCTTATAGCACAAAATGATAATGAATATGTGTTTAGTATTTCTACTGTATTTAGTATTTCTACTGTTATTTCCACTGTAGAAATGTTTCAATAATATTATTCACCAACCGCAAACTTCAAACACTGTGAAAACCTCCTATAGTATGTTATACCGCGAAATTGGAGTGAAAAGTAAATGCATATTACATGTAGTATACTCATCATCATCATAGCTTGTTGCTGCAACTACTAGTATGGAACTCAAAATCCAGTTTCAAAATCGTTTACAGAAATGCATGCAATTAGTCCTTACTTGTTCATCAGCGGCCGTGTTTTTTTCTGCATTCCATCACTTCTGACTGCTGCATACAGGGTCTTGTTGTTTTGTGCTGACCCTAGATAAGGTAATGCGTGAAAAACAAGTATTCTGTCAAGGCAAGGACCTGTGGTGTTGCCAAAAATCAAGGCAGAACAACATACAGATTTTTTATTAACTTCTTTAGGCCACATCAATTTAATTTGTTGTTTCTCAGATTCACCCTGTCCATTTTTTTTTTATTTGCAAAAAAAAAATAAATATTTTAGGTTCTAAATCAACTGCAAAATGCTCAAAGAAAGACGTATTGTGGCCCCAATGGTTGAAGGAAGTCCTTTTCTTACTAGTTGTTCAAGTTTTTCAATGTAACAGTGCAACTTTGTTTCATTTAAAGTTCAAAATCTATTGTTTTAATTATAAACCAGCCTGGTATGTTGACTTCATGGCTCATATTATAACATTTCCAGCTATCACGGGGTGCCTTGGCCTGTTTTTTTTTCATTTTGCCCTGTCGCTTCATATTTTTTTCTGAAAAAATCCGAGAAACAACAAAATTAAATTGGTGTGGCCTTATACATATGCATTCTGTATCTTTGTTGTCTAATTTTGACCCATAATTCCTCACTCATGACCTTCGACCTGAATAAGAGGTCTAGATTAACAAAGATTCCAATAAACAAACAAAGAAACAAACAAAAACTTGGCATCAAAGGACTAAATGACCATTTGCTTACATTTTTGGGACGGTATCACAAAAGGATTGATGCTTTTTTCCTCTCGCTTGTGGAATGATTCGTCATTGGGAGGGGGGCCCTGTGCAAGAAAAAAAGGGAAAAAACTCAATTCATACAAATTAGGATTGTTTAAATTCACATTCACAAACAAGAAGGTCTGGTCACAACCCTGTCAATCAACTGAAACACAATCTCTGCCTACTTGCTTTCAATCCTCCCTGGCCCTACTCAGGTACAGGTTCAGGTCCAGACCTGTACCTGATCCTTTGTACCTGTACCTGTACAAGATGCAACGTTTAGGTACTCAGGACGAAAATTAATAATATTTCTGTTGTAACAGCGGGGTTCAAATGCCACCAACTGACTTGTCCAATGGCCTTGCAGTTACTGGTAGTATGTTGGGTTTGTGAGCTGACAGCCCGGTTCGGCACGGGTTCGAATCCCGGCATCCAGGAGACTACTCAACCTGTTGTGTTTCACTGCCCCAGAAGTAATTACATGCTGTAGCAAGTTTTTGCCAACTTTCTTGTTAAACAAGGGCAGAAGTAGATATCCTAGCCTGGTGTCCAGTCTATTTCTCTTTAGGGCTGCAGTATCTCTCTAGATCTTCCCCGCCTGACTCAGCTAGGTAGGTAGGTTTTGGATGATCGTTATGGGGCTAATCAATGCCTGGTGTACAACATTCTATCACAGGCATAACACTCCGACCAGTCGGCCTGTTGAGCTGTACGGGGGAAACTATTAGAGCCCCAAAGACAACCTGCCGCAATCACGATAGACTGGATACTAGGCTATAGATATCCCTGTATCCTGTTCACTCACGTTCCCATAGCTGTCCCTGAAGTAAGGTTTGAAGAAGTGGGAGAGTTTGTGGGTCGATCGACCCCTGCTCTCTGACCCCGGGTCACTCACTGTCAGCTCTGACTTCAGCACAGTCTGTGAAAGTGTGTTCAAGTCATGGACCAGTTACTAGGATAAATACAAGTACATGTAATGTTATATGTACAAAATGTACAGGAAAAAAAGATGTCCAACTCAAATTATCAGTCTTTTAATGTTCATTGCATGCTGTTTTTTGCATTGCAGAATCTACTGTGTTTCTCTAAGTGCTTATTACATGTAGGTTAGTGAGAAAAGTACTAACCCAGCTCTTTTAATTAAAATCCATTTTCAGTGTATTTCTGTGCATGAATAAGGACTTAAGAGCGAATGTCTGTAAGGATCAAACAATGGTGGCACCGGTCAAAAAATCGATTTGGCTCATTTTTTGCACAGTGATAGTACTTAATACATAACCCCTCAGAATAGCTTTCTTTTTGTTCAGAACCCCTTGTTGCCATGGCAACGGGCCAAAGAAGTTTTCAGGCCATTTGTCCAGATTTTGGCATGTACAAAACATAGAAATTGGCTAACTTTAGGGCACTATAACTGATCAGTGCTTTAGCGTAACGACAAGAGCAAGATGTGCTGATCAGAGCAATGCCTAAACTTGTATAAAATAGCAGTAAAGCCAATGTTCAGTAAAATCTGAGGTCTTGGGCACTCTGAATACAATGCACTGTTTTAAGGGTGTAAAAAAACTGAAATTTTGCCCAACTTTGAAGCACTGTAAGTCCCAGAAGGGGAGGATGTTTTGTTTGAAATTTGCACTGCATAATAAACCACTCCAGAGGTATCAGATGCATGCTTGCAAAGTTTGGGTTCTTGTTTCGTTGCTACGAACTTGTCCTTTAAAGTAGGTCAATTTTCGTTATTTTGATGATATGTCATTTTGTGCTTTCTTTGAACTAACATAAGCTCCAAACCAAACTAGTTCTTTACTTAAAATTTACTTGAAGTATAAAACAACAAATTGTCTATGAAATGCATGCTTGCAAAGTTTGGGTTCTTGTTTCGTTGCTACGCACTTGTCCTTTAAAGTAGGTCAGTTTTCGTTATTTTGATGATATGTCATTTTGTGCTTTCTTTGAACTAACATAAGCTCCAAACCACACTAGTTCTTTACTTGAAATTTACATGAAGTATAAAACAACAAATTGTCTATAAAATGCATGCTTGCAAAGTTTGGGTTCTTGTTTCGTTGCTACGCACTTGTCCTTTAAAGTAGGTCAGTTTTCGTTATTTTGATGATATGTCATTTTGTGCTATCTTTGAACTAACATAAGCTCCAAACCAAACTAGTTCTTTACTTGAAATTTGCATGAAGTATAAAACAACAAATTGTCTATAAAATGCATGCTTGCAAAGTTTGGGTTCTTGTTTCGTTGCTACGCACTTGTCCTTTAAAGTGGGTCAGTTTTCATTATTTTGATAATATGTCATTTTGAGCTATTTTTGACCTAGCATAAGGTCCAAACCAAACTAGTTATTTACTTGAAAGTTACATAGAATATAAAACAACAAATTGTCTATGAAATGCATGCTTGCAAAGTTTGGGTTCTTGTTTCGTTGCTACGCACTTGTCCTTTAAAGTGGGTCAGTTTTCATTATTTTGATAATATGTCATTTTGAGCTATTTTTGACCTAGCATAAGGTCCAAACCAAACTAGTTATTTACTTGAAAGTTACATAGAATATAAAACAACAAATTGTCTATGAAATGCATGCTTGCAAAGTTTGGGTTCTTGTTTCGTTGCTACGCACTTGTCCTTTAAAGTGGGTCAGTTTTCATTATTTTGATAATATGTCATTTTGTGCTATTTTTAACTGACATAAGTTCCAAACCAAACTAGTTCTGTACTTGAAATTTATTTACAACATAAAACAATATGTACTCTGTAGAATGCGTACTTGCAAAGTCTGGGTTCTTGTTTTGCTGCTACGCACTTGTCCCTGAAAAAGGGGCAATTTGCATATTTTCATGTCATCTTGTCCTATCTTTTGACTCTCATAAGTCTCAACAGTAAATTGTTTTGCTATTTAAATTTACACTGAATGTAAACCTATATATTGTCTTTGAAATGCATGTTTGCATAGGTCAGATTCCTGTGTTCTAGTGGCTGTACCTGTCCCTGAAAGTAGGCCATATTCTTCACTTGTCCACTAATGCAAAATATTGGCTATCTTTGGGAGTCTAATATGAAAAAGGAAAGGTTTTAATTCTTCTATCTCTAATTTTGACAGATCTATGCCTTGGGTTGTTTATGAAATAGTTAGCACCAACGTTTGCATGATATAGTTGTAGCAATGTGGCTGTTATTGAACGTATGCCACTTTATCTTAATTTGATGATAACAGTCTTATACAGTCATATTTAGCGTCCCCACATTATTGACTCTCGAAGACTTGACTTGTTTCTATATTTGAATAAATATGATAAATCCCTGCGCATCTTTCTAATATGTAGTCTATCACTCTATGTCTTTGTATAACTATGTCTATGTGGAAAACATGCATTTCAGTCAACTCCGCTATTCCTGTACATGTAGACTGTACTCATTTTGAGCAAGGACAGGAACTTAAGTACTCTTTCAGTTTTGCTACAAAGGCCGCTTTCCGACGGCGATCACTTATGGAAGATACATCCACATCAATGTGTTCACAAATCAGTTTTAGCAATGCAATCCCAAGTTCGTATAAGTCACTTCTCTTTGACATGTCACATAGGTTTATATCTCATCTTTATCAAGCTAACGTGAAGATGAAAGAGATAAGGACTTCTCAAGTTTCTTGCCCTGACCACGGAGCCAAGGGGAGATTCACTATAGTCTAGGTCCTCTAGGAACTGGATGGCATGCTATGTTGCCCCTAAGGAAGGGGCAACATAGCATTAAATTTTGTATTTCAAATGCAGGCAATATTGGTTTGCAACTTATGATACTTTTAAATTGATAGTACATAATGACATATTGAAAAAAAATACCCAGTTTCAAGGCCAGTTTCACTACAGCAACACAAGACCTCAAACTTGCACTTCATTGACAATATATTGTTCTATATTTCACGTAAATTGCAAGTACAAACCAATGTTGGTTTGGAACTTATGATGGTTCAGAGATAGCACAAAATGACGTACTATCAAACTAATGAAAATTGTCCCACTTTCAGGGACAAGCGCGTAGCAGCAAAACAAGAACCCAAACTTTGCAAGCATGCATTTGATAGACAATTTGTTGTTTTATACTTCATGTAAATTTCAAGTAAAGAACTAGTTTGGTTTGGAGCTTATGTTAGTTCAAAGATAGCACAAAATGACATATCATCAAAATAACGAAAATCGACCTACTTTAAAGGACAAGTGCGTAGCAACGAAACAAGAACCCAAACTTTGCAAGCATGCATTTTATAGACAATTTGTTGTTTTATACTTCATGCAAATTTCAAGTAAAGAACTAGTTTGGTTTGGAGCTTATGTTAGTTCAAAAATAGCACAAAATGACATATGATCAAAATAACGAAAATTGACCTACTTTAAAGGACAAGTGCGTAGCAACGAAACAAGAACCCAAACTTTGCAAGCATGCATTTTATAGACAATTTGTTGTTTTATACTTCATAAAAATTTCAAGTAAAGAACTAGTGTGGTTTGGAGCTTATGCTAGTTCAAAGATAGCACAAAATGACATATCATCAAAATAACGAAAACTGACCTACTTTAAAGGACAAGTGCGTAGCAACAAAACAAGAATCCAAACTTTGCAAGCATGCATTTTATAGACAATTTGTTGTTTTATACTTCATGTAAATTTCAAGTAAAGAACTAGTTTGGTTTGGAGCTTATGTTAGTTCAAAGAAAGCACAAAATGACATATCATCAAAATAACGAAAACTGACCTACTTTAAAGGACAAGTACGTAGCAACGAAACAAGAACCCAAACTTTGCAAGCATGCATCTGATACCTCTGAAGTGGTTTATTATGCAGTGCAAATTTCAAACAAAACATCCTCCCCTTCTGGGACTTACAGTGCTTCAAAGTTGGGCAAAATTTCAGTTTTTTTACACCCTTAAAACAGTGCATTGTATTCAGAGTGCCCAAGACCTCAGATTTTACTGAACATTGGCTTTACTGCTATTTTATACAAGTTTAGGCATTGCTCTGATCAGCACATCTTGCTCTTGTCGTTACGCTAAAGCACTGATCAGTTATAGTGTTCTAAAGTTAGCCAATTTCTATGTTTTGTACATGCCAAAATCTGGACAAATGGCCTGAAAACTTCTTTGGCCCGTTGCCATGGCAACAAGGGGTTCTGAGCAAAAAGAAAGCTATTCTGAGGGGTTATGTATTAAGTACTATCACTGTGCAAAAAATGAGCCAAATCGATTTTTTGACCGGTGCCACCATTGTTTGATCCTTACAGACATTCGCTCTTAAAATGTTCATGTAAACCTAACATGTTACCCTACTAGTAAGTCTGATAGGTGTCAGAGAGAGCATTTAAATTTTGCATTTTGTGCAAATTTACCTCACACTTGGAAGTACAGTATGGAAGTTCCTTCCTTACAAGACATGTACCGGTACAAAATGTATATACCTGTCTCTCCCTGTTCTGAGCCAACATGAGCTGTACCCTGTTCAGCATGTCATGGATGTACTCCTGGTAGTTCTGGTTTAGTTCCAGGACCTCCTCTGGCTCCAAATCCTGGATCAGCTATATTAACAACAAATAACAAAATGTTTGTAGTGGTTGTTGCAATTTTTTTTTGCAGCGTGCTTTTAACGCTAAGAAAAATGGACAGGTTTGCGAAACTATATGTTCGAGGTGGCGGCAGGTGCAGCAAAAAGGTAGTAGGTGAATTACTTGTTCACAGCAATGATAAGTTTGCGATACAGAAATTACAGTGAAAACTGCAAATATAAAAGTACAGCAAAAAAAGTTGTGATTTACAGTACTTGTGAACATCATAGCAGAGTTAACTGCCCAGCTTACCCCTTGTACTTCAGCCTCTGTTTGATCATCTTCCTCCTCCTCCTGATACCCAACATCTGGGGCAGAGGACGGTCCTGCCACGACCAGGCCAGACGACGGTCTGCTCCGCATACCCTCGATGGTGTGTGGCGTGAGGATGACAGTGTCTCTGGACACCTGGGGGTGGGGACAGAAGAGTGTTGTTACCTCTGTGTATGGAGGTATTGTTTTCGGCACGTACATCTCTGTGTGTGTCTGTTTGCTTGCTTTAAGTAATACAAGTGTCAGTAAGTATTTGAATGACAGCACATTACCTTACTACAGCCCACAAAAGGTCAGACACTGGAAATAGGGTCGCAGAATCTGGCTGACAGGAAGTTGGCAGTTAGCAGGATCCCCAATAAGGCTGAAATTTCACCAGAATGTGACATTTCATACTAAATACTGTACATGCAGTACACGCTTGAATCAGCAGGAGGCACTGCTGACTGGTCTGTACCTGAGAGGATGCTCTTGACCCTGCATTGCTGATCCTGGGAGACACTGACCTGAAGGGCTCTACTGGAGATGCTATAGCTGTGGGAAACAGCAGAGAAGCATTATTTCCACAAGTTTATTAAGTAATAGGCAAAACCATTCTCCTAAAATTTCTCCAGGACACCATGATCATGACATATCACACTCCGCACTCAAGTGACATTTACCATTACCATGCCATTACTAAAATATTTTGTACTACAGTGTCTGATCTATTGTACAGCACATATACCAAAGATGTGCATGCAAATACTCCTGTTCTGACAGTTCTTTCCCAATTACTAGTACACATGTATTAGAATAAAGTTCACAGTTTACTTGGAAAGCATGGACAACCCTTCAACTTCCCTCTGCTTGAAGTTTGAGAAGATATGATGTGAAATTTTAGAGGTAAAGCAGGCATTTTTGTTCTTTGTAACTAGTAAATCACATAAACCCATCATATTTCCATATGTCAAGTAAAAGTATACTTCAGTGTTGTTAAATATAAACACTAAGAATAGTTGCTATCAGTTCATCAGTAGCCAATATGGACTTCTGAAACCTTTGTACGACGTCGCATTTATACCCAAGGCGTCCCGCCCAACACCTACTCAGCTTTTCCTCGTGGTCCGACTCTTCCTCCGAACTGTACTCCCCCTCCGAGCTGTCAATCACCAGTCTCCCGCTCAGAACCTGCTTAATCTGCTCAGTCTCCCTCTCTATCTTTTCTCGCTCGAGATCGATGCTCGGCTCTGCCATTTTGGGGGTGAAAACCATCAAAACGTACCAAATCGGCAAAAATTGAACCACTTCTGATATCCAAGATGGCTGAACTCTGGGTAATAATACTTTTTGATTGGCCAGCGCTTATATCAATCCGCGTGGATGAAATAATAAACATTTGCTCTCAGATATGGGCCTGTCATGGTGTGAAAAAGATAAAATTATGATTAGCATAATATCTATTATTTGTAAAATGTGTAAAATATATGATTTAAAACGTTCTGAAGTCAAACGCGAGCAGACAAGAAAGCAGTTCCCCGTGGAAGGATAAAAAGCACGTGAGTAGTGCAGCAACCATCATGGCGGACGAAGTCTGGACTTCAGCTAGGACTAACAGGTTTGCGACCGTTCTCTCGTCTTAGAAGTCGTTTTAAGACGTTTCAACACTTCTCAGTGGCTTCTAAGAATTTTGGGTGCCCAATGTATCATTTCGTAGTCTCCCGAGGCCTGGAATATTAATTTTTGGGATGCGTACGTGTCCTTACTGTGGTCATGTTCTTGCATGCTGGACATGTTCCATACATTAATTTTGTCCCCTCCCCCTCCCGTATGATAATTTGTAAACGCTGTGAATAATTCATCCAAACAGATTCTTGCAACTTGAGAATCGTAATTTTTCAGTTGTGGGATATATGGGATATTTTTTCTGAAATTTACCCTTTTTTTGCTGGACATTCACTGCAGTGGGATAATTTTTATATTCTTGAGAAAGATTTCATCATCCAAAATAATGTACTAGTAATTATATATAATTGAAATTGACCATATCTTGCCAGGAGACAGAATTATAGCCTGACAGTTATGATATAGAGTTATCACATGTGTGCTGAGGAATGCAGCAAGCCCAATGCCAGCTTGGCACCAGAGCTTCATATTTGTTGACCACCCTAAAGCCTTGGAGTCAAGGCCAACTGTAGGGGCAAACCATTTCACATCAGGGGGGTTTATGATACACTCGATGTACTCATTGTTTGATACTTTTAATCCTGTACTAGTGACCACCTTTACATCTGGACCACCTGGCCATTGTCATTGTGGCCACTTACGGCCCAAGTGTCCTATAGTGACCACTTGGCTATGGTAGAATTAGAAATACTTTTTTTCAGTGTTCTGCAGAATGTCTGCAATTTGGAAATATTTTTTGCAAATACACAGTGTAAAAAAGTCTGTAGATAATCATGTGGCATAGGGCTGGGTACCGGTTCAGAAAATTCAGGTCCAGGTCCGGATCAGGTTCAGAGGATCAGGTCCAGGTCCGGACCTGAACCTGGACCTGATTACTGAAGTACAGTAGTAGGAGCAATTTAACTGAGTACGTGTATGCCTTGATGATATCTATCGCTCAGTACTACCACAAACCTCATGGTCCGTGAACTTTTTTGTCGACCTAAAATGGAACCCACTGTTACAGAAGAGACAAACATGGATTTAGGCTAATCTAGTTTGATTCATGGTTATTTTTTTCACTTGCCATGACCAGATTACCTAAAGATGTCTGTACAATCTACCAAAATGTACTAAAATTAACAGAAATGTACATCAGGTCCGATGATCAGGTTTTTGCGTTTAGGTTTTTTGGACTCGGTTCTTGAATGTTGTTCAGGTCCAAACAGGTCCAGCTAAACCGGTACCCAGCCCTAATGTGGCATAAACAAAATTGCAATGCAAATTGAAAGATACATGAAAAATTACTAGTATTACTATTAGTAATACTAATAGTAGTTTAGTTTACAAGTTAGTTAGTAAACAATTTAGTTTACAAGTTAGTAGCAAACACAAAAGCTCTTGAACAATATTATGCTGACACCATCGAATCTCTAGCCAGATTTTTCTATCTGCAAAATTGCAGGTTGCTTCATTTTTCTTAAGCAATATTGAAATTGTCTTCGAAATGCAGATTGCAGGTAGAGCTAACACTGCTATTTGACCATTTTCTTCTACTACATTCTAGACTAGTCCCCTGATCGATAAGTGGTCACTGTAGATAGCTGGTGACAGGTCCTTTATATGCAGAGGTGATCACTTAAACAGGTTTGACAGAGAGTATTTACAACTTGTTGTTGTCATTGCTGTGACCTTAAGCCTTTTCTATGCCATGACCTGTAGGACAAACACGTTCTATTTACATTGAAAGGTTATCGGGGCAAAGGCATATTTGTACACGATAACACAATACACGTGTCTGTCTCATGATGTGTTTATGATTCTATGGCGTAGCCTTCTGTTTGGATCTTTTAAATTACTTTATTGATATGTAATTACCTGTCAAAAATATCAAAAGACAAAAAAAATTGTTTTTTTCACTTGTACTGAGTAGGTGATTCAAATTTTTTTTGTCACTGATTTTTTAACATTGCTGTATTTAGTGGGTCAGACCGTGGCTGAGACGTGCTGGTATTCAGTTAGACATTGTCATCTGCACATGATATATGTTTGCCTTTGCCTTTTATGTAAGTAAACTAAACCTTTGGCTTTTGCACCACTACTGGTGCCTGCCTCTATCCACGTGTACTAAAAGATACAGTTCAACATCCGAACATTGACCTAAAGTTCTATTTGTAAGTCTATCGCAATACTTTTTAACAGTGTTTACTTTAGTATGATCCATACTTTCTAAATTCTGAGTGGTGCAGGTAAAACTTGTCTGGTGCAGGCAATTTTCAATGTTACCTGCAACATTGAAGGTATGCATGCAGAAAAAAAATAATTTTGAGCTTTGTTTATAATGAAAACAATAGATTTCGAACTTTTAATGAAATGAAGTTGCATTGTTACATTGAAAAACTTTAACAACTAGGAAGAAAAGGACTTTCTTCAACCCTTGGGGCCAAAATATGTCAGAACCTAACCCCTTAGATTCAGAACCTAAAATGTTTTTTTTTTGCAATCAGAAAAAAATGGACAGGGCAAATCCGAGAAACGACAAATTAAATTGGTGTGGCCTTATGAAAGAAATGCTACAGATAAGTACAAGGTCTTCACACAAGTTGTTGATTCCAATTTTAATATTTTTTTCAGGGATATTTGCATCCAAAGATGGGCCAAACCCTGATCACCTGTGTGAGATAACATCCAAACGTGACCATGGCAGAGAAACAAGTGGACGCCAGTGAGCTCTTTAGCCTGCTGTCGTCACCTGACCTCCATGTAGTGGACGAAATCAAGGCCCTCATCCACGAAAACCTCAACACTGGTTAGTTCACAATTCCACATGTTTATGATCATATAATTAGATTTGGAACAAAGTATGTGAATTGCATTTCCCTGTATCCCAGCTTACTAAGATTATCAGTATTTTAATGTTTGCCTTGACAAATTTGTTTTGTTTTATTGCTGAACCACGTGTGCCGCCATCTTGAAAAGGTCATGTGATCAGCCCAACCAGGCAGTTAGTCTTACCATGAAATTATGTTTTTCCATTGTTGATTCTGGGAAAGAAGAATTGTTTTGGGCCGCACTGGTTTTGGAGGAGTTTGTATGTATTTTGTCCTCAGCAGTAGTGAGTTGAATTGCAAGTGAGTGGGCCAAGAGTGAGTTTCAGTTGATTGACAAGGTTGGGACCCAGTATGCTCTGGGCTGTTAGATATGTGTAATCATGGTATGAAACATAACCATAATTTAAGAGTCCATGATCTCAGTAAGAGTCCATTCTAGGATGTAATTCCATCGGGTATTTCTCCATCATTACATAACACAGTTCAAAACATTGCAAGCAACATTACAGATTTTTACAGATACAGAAAAACAAGTACATTATGTATGTAACAATAGATTGTATTGTATTGTACTTAGTTTTTGAGTAGCAACTGTGCTTGTTGCCTAATAAATATAATTGTGAAAAAAAAAGATTGTACTGAATCTTTGTGAATCAACTTTGATGTGTTTTTCTGGCTGACTCTCTCCGTAGCCCGTGAACCCTGGTTGTTAAACTGCCTCGTGGAGTTTTATGTGGCCACCAACAACCAGCCAGCCCTGGAGGTGTTAGTGGGCATCAGGGAGCCTCATGATAAGGTGAGACACACAGTACAAAAGGCAATTTGTTTTATAGTAAAATGTTGAACTTTATTCCAACACACAGGTTAAACAGAAACCAAATTTTCAGCGACCACTGTCGCCTTCATCAGGATAATAATTGACCAATCACTTCAAAATGTAATCTTGCGAGAGTTTTGGTTACAGACAGGCATGTGGATGGGAGAAGATTGACAGGTAGAATGACAGGAGGTCAAAAGGTCAGACACAGGAAATGGGGTGAACTTGAAGGTCATGAAAACCCCAAAATACATAATTTGTATTTCCTGGAAGTCTGAAATCTCTTAATTTCTGTTTTTCTAGTTTCAATCGTGTAGGTTGACAGCATGTGAGTGGGAAAAGATTGACAGGCAGACTGACAGGTCAAAATGTCATACACAGGAAATGGGGTGAACTTGAGGGTCATTAAACCCCATGGCCAAAATTCTTCCCGGAAGTCTGAAATCCCTTACTGGTATTTCTGTTCTAATCTATCGATCATGATTGATTGTTCTTCTATTCACTTGTATGTTTTTCAAAAGATTGACAGGCAGAATGACACAGGAAATGGGGTCATGAAAATCCCAAATTACTTTCCATAAGTCTTAAATCTCCAATTTCTGTTCTTCTCCCGTGTAGCATTTGCTGACCAAGTTACATGAGTACGTGGCGCGTGGCTGCCAGGCCAGTCGACTGGCTGCCCTGACGCTGCTGGGACACGTGGTGAGGAAACACCCGTCATGGCTGTACAAAATCACCCAGCACTCCATCATGGCGACTCTCCTCAAACTTCTCAAGGTCAGTCAAGGGCAAACTGGAAACAGCTTTTGGAATTCAGCTTTCAGTTTCAGATGTGTTGTAGGTAATCTAGATCTCAGGGAAACTTCATGTATTTCTGTATAATTATTCATGGATACATAATTTTCAGTGTAGTTTGAGCTTATCAATTTTTGCTGTCTGTAGGACAAATCCTGTCACTTATTAATAAGCAATTTATACAAGTACATAGAAATAGAACTTATGCAAAATGTTTTTACTTCTGGGATGGAAGTATTGCTTTGGGAGGTGCTGGTTTAGGGGGAATTAGTACATGTATGTATGCTCAACAGCAAAGATGAGAAGTGAGTGGGCAGAGCTTGGGGCTCAGTTGATTGACAGGGTTGTGATCCAGCATGCCCTGGGTGATAGGATATGGTATTATTTTGACACAACTGTGTACTGTCAGTGTGTCATCATGGTGCAATACTGTCCATAGTAAATAACGTCATACAATTACATTCTATGAATAGTAAGATTGAATCGGTTAATTTTCGCACAATCATAATTTTTCAATACTGTTCCAATGCAATCAAAAAATGCAAAACACTTCTCTGAAGTCTGAAATGTGTGATTCCTTGCTCTCCAGCGTGAGACAGACATCCCTAACGTGATGAGTGGAGTGCTGATCATCACCACCCTCCTGCCCATGGTACCCACACTCATCGCTCCTTACCTCAGCAGTATATTCGAGGTCTTCAGTAGGCTGGCTGCATGGAACACAAACAAACCTGGTATGGACCTTTTTATCCCTCCTATCCTTTTGTTTTATACTTGTATTCAATGTTGATATGTATACCATACGGTGTATATACTTATCAGTATATATACATGTGTATGTATCTATACTTTACGGTGTGGCCCGGGGCTTCTTTATGCGTACTGCCTGGGCCGTATGTTCCATAGAACGATTCAAACGCGTTTTGTCCTAACTGTATGGACCGCTTTCGAAAATTTGAATACAAAATTCGGACATTGGACTTAACTTGATGTTGTTACATTTTTTTGGTTTAGAGACAAAAAATTTTCGCTCATTTTGCATTGAAAGGCATGTTTTCTTGGGTGGGTATGACATAAATAAAATACAACACGGTGTATTCCGCATCATCCTCGGTCCCGGCCCTCCCGCGGATTGGATCTCCCTTCGGCCATCAGGCGATCCGACACGCGGTCGGGCTGGTACCTCGGGCGATACGGAATACCCGTGTTGTATTCTCTAATATAAATTAAAATGACAAACAAATTCAGGCTGGCTAGAAATGGAAACTAAAGTTACTATAGCTCAGCTAAAGCCAGTCTGTCAAAAGAACAAACAAAAAAAGAGATCTCTTTGTCTATCCCCAGGTCCTATCCCCGATGTGTACCTCCTCCACCTGCACATAGCAGTGTACGCCCTGTTCCACCGCCTGTACAGTATGTACCCCTGTAACTTCCTGGCTTACCTACGAGCCTACTACAGCACCAGGGACCACATGGAGGTGTTTGAAGACTCCATCAAGGTAGGAAAAGTACTCATCTTCTCAATTTGCTTTTCAATTAAGGCCACAACAATTTAATTTGTTGGTTCTCGGATTTTTTCAGAAAAAATATGAAGCGACAGGGGGAAAAAAAAAAGAAGACAAAATCAGGTCTAGGCAACCTATTATAGCCCAAATGCTACAATAGGAGCCATGAAGTCAACACAAAGGGCTGGGTTGATATTTATGGGTTCACCACACCACGAAGTGGTGTGGTGAAACCATATTGCTTTTTCTGGTGTTTCTTCTTCTTCTTCTCCTCCTTCTTCTTCTTCTCCTGCCATTTTTTAAATGGATTCAGCTTCTTCATTTTAGGGCCTAAGGTCCTGAAATTTGGTATGGAGGTACAGTGGGCAAATACCCCTAGGCGTTTTTTAAATTTTTGTGATACAGGCTTTTAGAATGGTTTTATTTGAGTTTTTTGGCTGTGTTATAGCAAATGTATTACTCATGTTTACCACGTTTGGGTATGAGTCATCACAATGGAATGCATGGCATCAACCAATAGGCATGCAGCTTTCCTCTATTCTTCTTGCTGGTTGGCTGTTGGGATTTAACTTGATTAACAACTGCACAGTGCATTTCCACCTGCACAGAGCATTTCTTGCTGATTGGCTGTTGGGATTTAACTTGATTAACACCTGCACAGGGCATTTCCATACTGACAGTATGTCTGTATTCAAGTGTTTTGGTAGGTATTTCAAGCTTTCCTGCTCCAGCATTGGAATGCGGGGCATGAACGTTATTTTTATTTTGAAAATCAACAGTTTGCATTATGCAATTAAAATTCCTAACCAATAAAGTAGGGAATAGCTATCCAACTGTTGTTTTAGTCGTATGTTAGTTCATATTATAGTTATATCAATGTAAATCATTGTTTTCCCTTGTGTTTCTCATTCTTTCCCTGCCATGTCGTAAAATGTGGTGAACCCATCGCTGTATTTGCTCCAAAGCAAATATTGGCCTTTCTAGTTAAACAATGAATTTTGAACTTTTAATCAAACTACTGCATTGATAGATGGAAAAACTGTTACAGTAATATACAGGAAGAAAAGGACTTTCCTGAACTGTTGGGGGCAAAATATGAGCATTTTTGAGTTAATTCAGAACCAGAATCGTTTTTTTTTTTGCAAATCAGAAAAAAATGAAGAGGCGAATCCGAGAACCAACAAATTAAATTTGTGTGGCCTAACAGTGCAAGTGATCTTAAACCAGTTTAGCTCACTGAAGAGCTATTCTTCCAATGGTTGTGATAGAGAAAACAGACGCTATGTACAGTATTTACAAGTTCATTGTACCAGGGAAATCCCCCTAGCTCTTTTCAACAAGTACAGTGAACAGTAAGCCATGGCTAGCTTAACGTGCTGTCCTAAGGACGGGTGAGCGACAACAGTCGGGATTTGAACTCCCAACTGCTTGGTCTAGGAAGGGAGTTTGTTAACTACTGGGCTACATGTACACAAACTAACAGTAGATATTGTATTAGAAAATGTTGTTTTATTATAAAAAGATTGTACATTCCCAGTATGAGTGTGGATTTTTTTCGTCTGCAGCCCATGTTGGAGAGAGTAAGGATGCACCCTCTCCTCATCATTTCTTCATCTGAAGAAGAAACCAAAACTAACAGGTGAGATGACTTGGATTTGTAAAGGTAGTGACAGGCTATAGTGGCAGTGAGTTGTAGATCCACTGTGTCTAGGCATGGTATTGGAAGGTGGAGCCCAATCTTTTACCTCTCCAACTGAAGTCAAGTACCCATTTTACACCTGGGTGGAGTGAAGAAAGTCAGGTTAAGTGCCTTTCCCAAGGGCATAGAGTCGAACTTGGGAACAAACCTGCGACTTCTCAATCTTGTGTCTCCTACCAAGCAACTTTACCATTTGATGCCACCATATAGATATTAATACTAAAGTATACAGTAATTCCTGATTTCTTCTTGGCACTTTTATGTTGACGGTTTTTGTGGTCATTTCTGTACTGTGAACTTAATATTATCAACTTTAAGTAAACGTTAATGAATAATTTACCGCCACTGTGAATATACATGTAGTTCTGTGAACACCTCCTTTTTTCTAAGACTGCCAAGAACATAAAGCAAAATTACAGAATGAGCCAAGAAACTTGATAGAGATGAATGATAAGAATTTTGTCTTGTTTACAGATGGAGAAAGATGGAGACCCATGACATTGTGATAGAATGTGCCAAAGTGTGTCTGGACCCGCTGGAGTCAGGGCGGGACTGGGTGGCCGCCCCCCTCCCACCCTCAGGTCTCATCTCCAGGGAACCCTCACAACTCAACACTTCTCTCAACTACTCCTTCTCACCCATGCCTAGTGCAGGTTAGTGTGTCCAAGTGCTTATACTATACTCAATGTCTCGATACAATGCATTAGGCTCAGGAAAATTATGTTTACTGAAGGAAAACATTGTTTTTGCTCTGTTTCCTCTTCTTCTTCTCCAAACCAATGAGGTCAATGACCTGATCCAAAAGTCTGTCACCATGGTAACTGGTGTTGGGCTGTCAATTTGTAGCTGTGTCCTCACAGTGTAATCACTGTTGTTTCTGTCTCTGTCTGTTTTACAGAAGCCAGTCTTGCAGATGAGAGCCACAAGAAGGAGAAGGCTCCCTCCCAGAAGCCAAGTCTGGTGGAAGACTCTCCTCCGTTTTGGAGCCCCTCCAACATCTGCGGGCTATCCACCCCTCCACACTCACATGGTATGTCCCCGGCCAGCAGCCATCTTGAGTTGACCTCGTCCTCCGCTTTACACCACAGTTTTGCGCTGTCTTCTGCCGCCAACACTCCCACCCCCCTGGCTACCCCCTCCGAGTCCCCCCCAACCATAGGAGGGGGTGAGGTGCCGGGACACGGGTCCACACCCAAAAAGACCAGCAGAGAAAATCTCCTGTCTAAACCGCCCATGTCTCCAAGGTCGCGAACTCAGATATTTCAGCGATTTTTTAGCTCACCCCAAGGTCAAACACCCGAACTGTCCTTCAGTAATTCTACGCCGGTTTCGCCGTTGTCAAGAGAAGACTCCGGGGGTACCGGCGTACCGGATAAAAGTCAAAGTGCCCCGCTTACCGCAGAAGCGCTATCAGAACAGGACGCTCCTTCCTTCCCCCCCAAAGTTCCCAAAAGTGGACTGGACCTAACAGAGAGTCAGCAGTGTGCCGGGACGTTCCACTCCCAGGACAGGGAGGAGGAGGGGAAGAACTCTAAAGACATCTTGACCCCCGAGAACCTGAGCCAAGTTGTGGAGAAACTGTCGGAACACGGGTCATCCCTGGAAGTAGTGGGGCCGCTGTCTTCCACAGGTCTGGATGTAGACAAAGATTTAGATGGTAAGGATTGCTCTTTATAGAGATGTTTTCTTGAAGTAAGATGCTCACTGTACATGTGTATTAAGCTTTTTGATGCTGTACAGTTAACAGTCATTTTATGGCACTGGTAAAGTAACAAAAACTTTTGGATTAGTGCAATTATTGTTTCTTATGCCCGGGGAATAGAAATTGGGCATTCTAACAAATTTAAGCTTCAACTTCCAGACAGAAGTATTGTTTTGGGTGGTGCTATGTTATGCTCAGTTTGTATGTTTGGGTTCAAAAATGAGTGGGCGGAGATTTGTTTAATTTCCATTTGATTGACAGGGTTTTGACCCAGTACGCTGTGGATTCAAGGATGTCGTATGAAACATACACCATGGTGTAGTAGAGGAATTTCATCATAGATTAGTATGAGTAATAATGCAATTTATTAACACAAACTAGTATTATATATAATATAATATAATTTCAATTCCCAAGTTTGAAATCTCTGACTTGTTATTTTGTATTTGTAGATGCTGCTAATTTGGAGGTGAGTGAGATCACAGACCAGGGCCGGTCCAGCCAAGGTGCAGCTAGAACTCCAGAGGACGAGTTCCACAATACAACTGCCAATCTCACAGGTAACGTCTGGTCTAGTGAATGTTACTGGTGCAATATCTTAGTAGTAAAGCCTTTCTGAAAGGGGGTTGAACTTACCTATTTCATTCCTACATTTGGGACTAGGAAGAATGAGTGAGTGGCTATGTTAGCTCTTTTTTGCAAAATACCAAAGGAAACTTCTGATTCTTTTATTTTATAAATTTCCATTTTTGCAGAGTTTTGTAAATGATTGCTTTGCAAAAGCATGCTTTTAAAAGAAAAAAGATTATAGCTAATATCTCAGAAATCATTTTTTAAGACCACTGCTTATATATAGCATTTGGTTCTGTCATTTTAATTGGTCCATACTACTAACCTTTGAACTTTGAACCTTGCTGACATACCTCCTGTAACCTTTGACCCTCAGGAGCCGCCAGGTACCCACAGGGGGAAGGATTGGTCACCCCCGACCAGGACAGCCAACCAGAGGTGTCCGACCAGTTTCAAACCAACCAATCAGACTCCAACCTGCTCTCCTACGACACTGCCAAGTCCGCCGCCACCTTCATGGCGCGCGTGAAGCAAATCCGCGGCCACGTGAACTCCGACACCGTAGTGAACCCGTCCGAGCTCCCCAGGGTGAGATACAAGTCGTACCCTCCCCTCACGCGAGGCGACAAATTCGTGCCCTCCGATTCAGCAATCGTTAGTCCAAACGTGCCAAGCGCTTTCAAGAAGCCCGCCAAACTTTCCAAATTAAAGATCCCCCCGCTAGACGGATCCAACGGTAGCCTGACGGACAATTCTTCCACGGACATCTCAGACGATGTTGTTACAGACTCGGTGCCTGAAGATGTAGAAAAATGCGAAGTAGTAAACTACTCCGAGGGAAAAAGTTGCGAGCAGACAGAACTTAAAGTTCAAGAAGAAGTTCAGCAAAGACTTCAAGATAGCATTGAAGGGCTAGAGGAGAAAGAGAAAGGCTTCACGCCCATTCAGGAAGAGGAGGCGAGAATGGACACGAGCACGCCACAGAAAGTACGCGATTCCGTCACGCAGACTTTCATGGAGCCGTACGAGCACTTAATACCCCTGGCTCTACAGTTTCTACCTGGTATGAGACCCGGAGAATGTGCCATTCTCCCTGACGGGGAGGAGAAGGGTTCCCTCCCCTCCCAGAGGGACAGTGTGATGTCCATGTTTAGTAAGGTTTCTCCCTTAGAAGTGTTAGATAGACACATTGAGCTGGGAGGGGACGTACACTCCAAAGAACTCAGCAGAATTCCACTAGTCAACATGGATTCCATCAACTGGACACACTTTGGAGGTAAATGTACTTTTCCTTTGCAATGTTTACCATTGGAGAAGGGAAAAAATATCATTTTTACTAAGTTTCTTCTCCAAACAAAACAGTCAATAACCTGGACCAGATGTCTGTCACCATGGTAACTGGTGCTGTAGCAGACATGGTAACTGGTGCTGTGGTGTTGGGTTACATTATGTAGCAAGTTGCAGGGCAGTTTGAGAGGCTGGTCCCCATGTAATGAGCTTCTCCATGTAATGTGACTACCGGTATGCGTTTTTTTCAATAATGTCTGATAGCTTGTGTAAGATATCATTTGAACTGAAAATGATATAGATTAAGACCCGAAATAAAGTAGGGTCTGCCCCCCTTAACACAACGTTTAAATGTACAGGAGCCCCCCCGGCGGATGAGGTGACCATACTGAAGGACCAGCTGCTGTTACTCCATAACCAGCTGCTGTTTGAGCGGCACAAGCGGGATCTCCACGCCCAGCGGAACAGACGGCTGCTGGGGAAGACCTTCAAGGCCCGCGCCATGGAGGAACAGAACGTGGCCATGCAGGATCAGGTGTGTACACTGTCATGTACATGTACATCACAAGAAATTACAGACTTCCAGGAGGTGTTTTGGGCTTTTGTTAATGTACTGGAACTGTATTGTATGATTATGGGGCAATACACGATTGACTTACATCATAGAATGGATTGTTACTCGTAAGATTATACATGTACGACGTGACTTACTCCGGCATTACACCATGGTTTATATTTCATACCAATATTACACATTACACATTACTGGCAACCTCTTACCACATCCTACATTGTGCCACCCAGGACATATAACGGGTCACAATCCTAGGCCTGTCAATCAACTGAAACCCAATCTTTGCCCACTCATTTCGAATTCCTCCCAACTCATGATGAGATACAGACAAACCCACCCACCCCAAATCAGCGCCGCCCAGAACAATACTTCTGTCTCAAAAGTAATACATGTAATCTTTTCCTTTGCACTGTTGCATTTACAACTGCAGGAGAAGGAGATTTGGCGATACATACACACATGTACAAACCCCAATAAACCAGCACCTCTCAAACCAATACTTCCTTCCCAGAAGTAACAAGCTCTAGCTACAATGTACTAGGGTGACCAAACCAAGAAAACTGTTTCCTGATATAAAAAGCGCTCTGCCACCAAAATATCAAGACGACAGTGTGTCCAGAACAAAAGATACAAAACCCAGAAGTTCTGCTGCAGTACAAAGGTCAGCCACCAGGAGGCCCACAATTAACCTTGACCTTCATCTTGTCAAGACTTAGTAAACACACATGAAAACAATTTATCCAGGCCTTCTTAAGTTGTGCTGACCAGAAATATGTGGAAACACACACAGACGAAGAACAATACCTCTATTTTTCATGGAGGTAATAATCCTTTCCCTCACACTGTTCCAGTTACAACTGCAGGAGAAGGAGATAGTGAGTCAGAAGGGAGAGTTGAGGCAGCTGTGGGTGGAGAGGAAGGACCTGTTGGAGAGACTGGAGAGGAAAGACGCAGAACTCCAGCTGAACACCAGGCAGTACCAGCAGGAACAGGACAGACTACAGGCACAGGTGAAAAACAACCGTTCTTGGGGCGATGTAAAGAACTTGATGTTATCTAGTACTAGTACCCATACAGGTGTGGTTATTACTTTACTTCATACTTCTATCCATTAATAATTTCATCAAGTTGTTAGATGACTGTGTTCTTCACATGCAGACGTTTTGGGTTTCTTTGGTCACCTTCTTCAGGACATTATTGACTGGTTCTATACCTCATGGTGGTTTTTCTGTTGCTGTGTTTGCTGATATACTTGTGATTAAAATGTGTGACTTACAACTACACTTGTTAAGATTTCCAGCTCAAGCATTTGAAACTGTCTTCTGAAATTAGTACATGTAGCTGAATTGTTTCAATTTTTCTATAACATAAATTGGTATTGCTTTGTAATGTGCCAAAAAAAGACGCTCTGTCATGCACAAGGCCACCTGCATTATGTACTCCATGGAATTTGAATCATGAACAACCAGTAAGATTGCTTTACTGATTTACCTATTCACTTTGTTTCCCTGGGTAACAGGTTGAGGACCTGAGACAGTCTATGGCAGCTAAAGAAGAACACATGGACAGACTGAAGAAGGACCTGAAGACGTCGAGCGCCCGTCTCTTCACCATGGAGAGCGAGCTGTGCGACATGGCCGACAAGGTCGCTCACACCGAGGACCTCCGACAGCAGGTGGAGGCACTCAACAGGTACGCGCTCTGCCGCCATGTTTGTCTATCTGTCTGTTTGTTTGCTTGTGTGTCTGCAGATTGACAGGAAGATGAAGTTGGAGGTCAAAATGGTCTCCTTTGACAGTAGAGGGACAAGAAGTGAGAGTGGAAATGGCGTACTCACAGACTGACAGGAAGGTCAAATTGAAGGTCAATTGGAGGTCAAAATGGTCTGATGGGACAGTAGCTGGACAAGAAGTGAGGGTGGAATGGTGTAACTACAGACTGACAGGAAGGTTGAATAGAAGGTCAATTGGAGGTCAAAATGGTCTCCTGTGACAATAGTGGAACAAGAAGTGAGAGGGGAAATGGTGTAACCACAGACTGACAGGAATGTTGAATAGAAGCTTATTGGAGGTCAAAATGGTCTCCTTTGATAGCAATGGAACAAGAAGTGATGGAGGAATGGTGTAACCACAGACTGACAGGAAGGTCAATTGGAGGTCAAAATGGTCTGATGGGACAGTAGCGGGACAAGAAGTGAGGGTGGAATGGTGTAACCGCAGACTAACAAGAAGCTCAAATTGAAGGCCAAACCATAGGCCGAGGAGGTGTCATGTACATGTAAGACACACATTTGTACATTAGCCCCAATGTAACGAAAAAAGCTCATAAATAAGACCTTTAACCCACTTAAACTTTTTTTTTAAATGTTGATGTGTTCTGACAGACAACTGTTGCTGATGGGTGAACTCCAGCAGAAGTACGACGACAGATTGGACCTGATGAAGTTCACCAACAACAAGGAGGCCAACTGTAGTGCACAGCTGGCAGCTGCCAAGGCTGAACTGGCAGGTGAGCTGTAGAAGGAAACTACATCCCTCGGATGTATACGTCCCTCGGATAGGACGTTAAATGGAGGTCCCGTGTTTGGGGAGTTAAAGCCAAGTTTTTGGGGAGTTAAAGGGGAGTTAAAGCCAAGTGGAGTTACACCCCACGCATGTTAAAGAAGCCACCTCACTTATCAAAAAGAGTAGGGGACCTTCCCTGTGTGAGTGGTTTAAACCTTACAGTCTGGTCTCAGGTTTGACATCTTATAGAGGTGATAGTCACCTGTTATGTTAATCCTGCCACAAATGTGGTAAATCTTCATAAATAGAAAATAAAAAAAATAAAAAACCGAAAGGCAGTGTACTAGCCAACATTCGTCATTCTGTCGTTGGATGCAGTTTTTCTGCTCATGAATGAAAAAAATTTGCCAAATTCTTCATATTTTACCTGACTCCAATCAAATTGAGGTTCTCATTTTACGCCTGGGTGGAGTGAGGAAAGTCGTGTAAAGAGCCGCCTTTCTCTAGGACGCAACGTCTAGCCAGGAATTCCATGGATGAAACCTGCAACCTCTGAATCTCCTGTCTGCTAGCCCAGCCACTCGGTTGTTCAACGCCATCTCTATTAGCTCTTATCTTGGTTAACTTTGCATCTGCTATGTTTACCGTGTAGAGCCAGGGTAAAATTTTGAAGGGAGTGGTTTTTGACAAGTTTGCTTTCCCTTCCTGTGATAGGACTGAAAGAGACACTCCACGCAGAACGAACAGAACGAGAGATGGCGAAGAAGAGAATCTCAGAGCTGGAGGAGAGCCTGGGGAACCGGGAGGTGGTCGGGCTGGAGCAGAAGCGGATGCTGGAGAGCGTGAAGAGCCTCTCCCGCGGCCAGCTGCAGGCCATGGAACAGAAGTACAACTCTCTGAAGAGGATCTGTCAACAGATGGAGAATCAGATACTCAAGCTCTACAGTAAACTAGAGGGGAAGGGACATCACAGGTAACGTATTTTTAAGTTAACCTTTGTAGAAGGAAAACATATTCAATTTGTTTTTGCTCAGTTTCTTCTTCCTCTTCTTCTTCCCCAAGCACATAAGGTCAATGACCTGGACCAGAGGGCTGTCACCATGGTAACTGGTGCTGTAGCAGACACCCGGTGGTACTGAGTTACATTATGTAGCAAGTGGCAGGACAGAGTTGGAGAGGCTGGTCACCATTTATATGAATGTGTTTGAGTAAGAAGAAACAGAGCGGTAGTTTGTTGGGCTATGGAGGATTGCTCACTTTGATCATATCTGTCATCGCTTGTTTTTGCAGGAATCGAGAGAAACTCTCCAGTGAAAATATCTCCACGGGCAGAGGCCAGATGGAGAGGCAGGTTTCCCACGACGTGGCCAGTAGCACAGAGAGTAGCGAATCACAGAGTTCCATAGACAGCGTCAAACGGTTACAGCCGCCTCCAGACGAACCGAGCGGACAGCGATCGTCGCCAAACACGACTTTCGGGTGGGAACCGGGCGTGGACAATCCCGTACGCAGTCGAATGAAGAGTGCTTTTGACGAGGACGGCTTGTCACTCACGAGCTCGGAACGATTACAGGCGGAGGACATACGCGGACAAGAAGAGACGGACGGCAAGGGGAAGGGTCGGGACGTTTCTCGCGAACTGGCGAAACATAAAGGAGAGTGGACGGAGGAGGGGGCACGGGGCGCGCAGTTAGAGGATGGGCACCGGAGAACGAGCACGATAGGGAGTCGCTCTACGCTGAGCGAAGACAGGAGTTTGGCCTCCATGGCAGACTTAGACGGGAGTCTGTACAGCGAGACCACGAGCATGTCATCAAGCGGGGCGCGTGGCTTCACGGACACCTACGATAGCGGATATGCATAGTTAAAGTCAATATTCTGGTACACTAAAAGTCATATAACTTTTGATACCATAGTTGGCATTGCAAAGAGGACACTATTGCTTCTAAACGTGTGGAAACTGAGCAATTTTGAAAAAGTTGCAATATTTCAAAAAGAAGGTTTGTAAGCAATTGCATGGAATACTAAGTGAAAGTGCCTGTCAAGTGTTTGAAAGCGATGTTCTTGTTCTGTAAGATATCTTCTTGTTAGTTTTGAGAAGACGGATTGCATATTTCTTTTAGTTTGAAACTTTTCGGTATAAAGAAAACAGAGAAGAACAAGAGTTTCGATGTGTGTACAGGAAGAAAATTGAAAACATTTTTATTTATTTTCAATTATAATTCTAATGGTGTGATTTTGTTCATGTTCACTTTCTTTTTGCTATTAAAAGCTTTTCTTTCCATTCTTTTCCTTTCTACAGCCTTCTTTCACACCGGAAGGCTTGTATATAAAATCTAATGATAGTTATAGTATGCTTTTGTTCATGAACTTTATGCCAATTCTTTTGTATTAAACTTTTCTTTCTATTTTCCCAGCCTTCTTTTTTCAGAAGGATTGTATATAGATTATTCTCTATGAGAGCCTATATCTTGTATTGTTCTTTAAAATATGAACATAAAAATGGAATCCTTTAGTACTCCAGTCATGTATTTTTAACATATTTCTCTCAGTTACTTTAATGATCATGAATTATGTCACCTTTGTTCAAGTAAGACTCTAAATGAATACGTCCAGCAATTTTTGAACAAAAATTAGGCTTTGCAAATTGATGGATTGGAAGATGGATTTTGAATCAGACAGAACAAAAAAAAAGTACTTTTCTGATTTTGAGTTGGTGTTATTCTGCTGATACATACCTTTGTTGTATGTGAGAACATTAGAATGGTTTCTTTTATCTTCCACCATATGCTGCTATAATAATAATTGTATTTTCATGTTGTGTCGGCCAGTTTCTACTGAATATACCATGCTAAATAAAAATATCCAGTTACCAATTGGAGTGAGTTGAACTAAGCTGCCATTTTCACACTTCTGAAAGAACATTCAAAGTTTGATGTTGATTTCAATCATGAAATGGATGCAAAGACCTGGGGAAAAGTGGAGCTGAAAGAAAAAAAAATGCACAGAACTTGACAAAAAAGGACAATTTGAAAGTTTCTCTGTGTTGGTAGAAAGCAACTTTGAACTGTGATTTCCAATACAGGAAATTGGACAGATTTTTGAATGTACAATCATGTACAACTCCAGTCTTTGTCAAGGAATGAGCAATCCACAGCTTCTGTGACATCACGTTATGCAGATGACACGTGGGCAGAATACATGTAGGTTGCATAAAGTCTATGGTCTTTGTTGAGGGATAGTTGCAATACTATAAAAGTCTGAAAAGGAACCAGATTTTTGCACAAAGTATTAATTTAAAAGTAATTATCTACATCAGCGCATTGCAACTATCCTTCAACAAATACAAAGCACCACAGACTTTCTACAAAGTATGATCCAATGCTCACTGACGAAGTCAGCATGGCCTCATACAAAATAACAAAGACTGAAAGTGTAGGGTCAAAAATCTGGGTCCAATTTCTTGTGTTGGAAATTACAGTTTAAACTTGCTTCATAAAGGACATTGTTATTCATATAGCAGAGATCAGGACTCCTCTACATGTATGTTTCTTTACTTCTAGCACTAAGTACAGGAATATTTTAGAACCTCACTTGTCCATTTCATTTGAAATCTTTCCTGTGTCTGTATGTGTGGTATATAGCCTTATATCAGGACATAACAAATTGTAATACATCAATAGTAGACTATCAATTATTTGGGATATTGTTTGTCATAGCCATTGCAGATGGAGTTTGAAACTGACTCCAAACAAAGCAACATGCTTGTAAGGCAGCACCAATTTAATTTGTTGGTTCTTGGACATAAAAAAATGCTCTTTGGAAAAACATACATATGATAAAACACTGGTCACCTCAATTTTGGAATGTCACTTTCCGAATTTTGAGACAGCTATGTTGAAACCCCTGATTTTCAACTTTGTTATTCCTGGATGTACAGTGAACTTTTGCATGCCATTGGAAAGATCATGCTATCTTCAGTACAAGGTTGCTTTTTTTATGGTCAGAATGTACAAATTTATCAAGATATTTGACTTTAAAAATTGCAAGCCTGGCGGTCTAGAACACACACCGTCATGCCCAGCAGCTTAGCCTGGCAGTCCTAAACTTTAGCCCGCGGCCTGAGTTAGCCAGCCCGCATCCAGACCGCATCCAATTAGCCTCATGAACACCCCATGAAAACCACTGAATTAATGAGAATTCACATTTTCACACCTGTGTAATTAACAAGTTTGTGATAAATTCATGAGAGGTCTGGGCTCAATGGTTAGCCCGCGGGCCTGAACAGGCCTGTCGGTCTGTGGACAGGCTGGGCTGATGATTAGGCCTTATGATAGAGAACCTTCAGACTTTAAACACCAAACAGAAAGTGGGAAACAAAAATATGCTTCCAAATTGATGCTTCCAGATTGATGATGGTTTACACTTCACTTCATATCACTTCATATTAATAAACACCCTTCACATTTTCAGCTAATATTTTCAATAAGTGATTACATATTATTGACAAGTATGATGTACAGGTATGAATGATGATAACTTTCATGAATATTCATTTTGAACAGTTTCTGCAAAAGCTTCAGAAATTTCTACTGGAAGAATTTTTCCTGTGCATGGGAAGAATTGTTCTGCTATTAAGACTGCAAAAAGTCTCTTTCTAGTAGAAAGCTTTTTGAACATGTTTGAGGAGGTGGATTTTGCTCCTGCTGTGCTACCTGGGCTGATACCTGGGCGGGGTGTAACATTTGTGTAACGGTTATGACTAAAAAAGATCAGATAGCATCATAAAAGACCCTTGTCTCAGCAAGAACACTTCATATTAGACCTGATTGGTTGTGGTGTTGGAAGCCAACTTTTGAGGACACTTCATGGTCACTTACAGTTTCTGTTTGGCAGGTATAGTCCAATCTGTCCTACTATGGATGGGCAACTCCCCTGGCCAAATCCCTTTGAAACATCATGGGGGTAGAAATTTATCTTTTTTTTTAAAGAATGAAGACTTGGCTAAGTACAGCTCACAACAAAACAAGATGAATGGACATGGTTAACAGATAAACAATTAATCTATGGAAACATTTAAATCAAAAGGAAAACATTTGGAGTTTTAGTGCCATAATCCTGCCATGTATAAGCCTCAGCCGATGTACACTGAAAACATAAAAAGCAATAGCAAGGAATCGATCCTCAATTTGCAACATGAACTTGCTTTCAGTGCAAGGAGTTGTACAATGCTTTAGGAAATTCATGTTACATTTTCTTTTGTAATTATTCTGTTCCTGCACCTTTGTCATGCGGGTCATACCTCAGGTCACCTATTGTTCCAGGCATGCAAATGACCACTGTCCAATTATCAAATTAGAGAGTCTGGTCGGGCTACCCTGACATGGGTGCACTGGCACTGGCTCAATAGCCCGAAAAAATATCCTATCAGAAAATCTCATGACATTGTAAAATGTAATGACAGTGTCAGATGGCCTGGGTTCACACGCTGAGAACCATGTCTTGGCCAAATCTTTCTATCCCACAACTAGTTTGTAGTGTCATGATTGGATTAGATTTAGATTATGAACAAAAAATTAATGATGAGAATCTTTACAGGATTTGTAATAAGTCTAAATTACAATTTAATTGGAAGTGCTTGCCCAAGGCCTGGAGTCAATTCTATATTGCTATATTCCACATAACAAATTGTAACCATTTCGAAAAAAACACAATGTTTCTAGATAATTTCAAAGTATGATTTAAAAAAGTAGAAAATTTTCCAATTGTTACAATATTTGTGAAACATCTCAAATAGGTTATATCAAGGACATTATACACAGTATAATGTCCTTGGTTATATATATAATCATGGAGGTAAAAAGAGACCTCCATGATATAATGAAAAGAGCTGTTCATTCAGTTTGGATATTTCCCAAAAATTTAGGAACAGAACGTAAAATGCTTGTACAGCGCAGGATGTACATGTATGATAGCAGACCAGGTAGCCTGGGTGTAAGAAACAGGGGCGAGCTGTAGCGCCTATAACCCCCCCACTGTTACATGGGTACCAGACTGCTGCCTGGCTAGCTCCTTGGCTCCTGGAGGGCCAACATTTGCCCAAGGAAATGTCACCATAGAGTGATAATAGACATCCCTCAATAAGCCTATGAATTACATTGTAAAGGCTTGTTATCCCCTAGACACAAAGAACACAGTTTCTTTAAAAATGGGTGACAAAAGGGGAGGGGAGGTGATTATGATAAAATTAACAAGTTCTAACTTCCAAGCAACAACTTGAAGTTAGTCTCCAGTCAGAATCTGATCAATGTTAGACGTGTTTACAACTGGAGAAAGGGGATGCTTTTGCTTCTGAAGCAAAAGCATTCATTGAGTTATCAGACTGCATGAATTGTCATGACATACAAAAAATCAGATGATCATTGATCAATTACTAAGGTGACCTTGAGAGAATATTGATGTAATGTTGTAATTTTATAGAACAGGATTCTTCTTCAAGTGAATGAGTCTGAGAAACAAGTAATGACATTATATTTAGTCTCTATGGCCGGCCAACTCCTCTGGCCAATGATGTTCCCCTTAGCCGATTGCTACTATTTATTTAGCCTGCAAAGGAGTCTGGTGGAGACTACATTACATGTATATTGGTGTGGCCTAACAGTTGTATATATTTATCATACAGTCATTCCTGCCGAAATTTCTAGGAAGGATTCTATCTGCAGGAATCTACAATGTCTTAGTAGGTTTTTCCTGCAGAAATTTCCTGCAGGAAGAAAATTTTCAAAATGAATTTCCATGCATGTTATCATTCATACCTGTCCAATTATCAAATTAGAGAGTCTGGTCGGGCTACTAGTACCCAGACATGGGTGACATGGTCTTTGCAGCTTGCACTGGGTAGCTCAATAGCCCGAAAAAATATACCAATCAGAAAACCTTATGACATTGTATATAATGACAGTGTCAGATGGCCTGGGTTCACACGTTGAGAACCATGTCTTGGCCAAATCTTTCTATCCCTCAACTAGTTTGTAGTATTATGATTAGATTAGATTAGATTTAGATTATGAACAAGAAATTAATGATGAGAATCCTAGTTTTATTTTTTAAGATAGTCGGTCATCTTTTCAGGCTCCTACTGGGTGACCCAGTACAAGCTGCCCAGATAGGGGTACTGTAATTCGACGTGTAACTCAACAATAGTCCAACTTGATAATTGGACAGTGGCATTTGCATGTCAAGAACAATAGCTAAACTTAGTTTCATCCCGCATAACAATTGATCCTTGATCAGAATAATTACCTGAGAACTGTTGAACCATGGTTGAACAGAAATGGACTGAGGATTTTATAACTCCATTGCTTGAAAGCAGGTTTAAGTTGCAATGGATGTATTAGGCTTCTTGCTCATATTATATAGTACTAGAATTTTGTCTGGCAAAACTGTCTGTAACATAATTTTCCCAATGTTTCAACTGAACTGAACTGAACTAGAACTTCAATGACATTCAGGATGCTCATGAGAAAAATTGTTTATTTTCTACCCCTAGCTGGTACAGAACGTGTTTGTAAGCTCTTCTTTCTTTTTCGTGGTCTACATGTAGTGGAAAGAGCATGCGAAGCTGAGTGATTGAGTGAGTGAATGAGGTTGAAAGCGGCAAAAATGTACAACACTGTTAACAGATGGGTGTGGATTAATTTATGCTCTCCTTCCTTATTTTCTGCCCTTAGAATGAAGTTTTACACATCACTTGGATCAGACCGCGGGCTGAGATGTAGTCCGTGAGGTCTGAATCCTTACCCCACCAGGCTGAAATTGGCACAGACAGTCTGCAAACATCAATCAATTCACGCCTTCCATGCCATTGTTTTGGGCTTTTTGCACCTCTTTGACCAGAAATTCCAGACCGCGGGCTGAAGTTAGGCTGACGGTCTGAATGGTTTTTGAGTAAATCAGCCCGCGGGCTGGGATTCTACACCTGTAGTCTAGTGCCTTTAGACCGAAGGTCCTGTAATTAAAACTTGCAGGCTAGTTGTTAGGCCTGACGGACTGTTAGGAAAGACCACCGGTCTGTTTGTATTTATTATTAATGATATCTTAAGTTATGAACACTGCAGAACAATAATTTTCATATCACTGTGCTCATTACACCAAGAGCTACACACTGATGTGAAACTTGAATGTTGAAAATCAATTTTTACTTGAGTTTCCAAATGCCTTGTGACTTTCCAAAATTGATGCGACCAGTGTTATAAGTACCAAGGCTGTGGACCATTTTAGGCCTTGGGCCACATAGGTTTATGGACTGAATACAGACATATTGAAGTTTTCCTTCCTACCTTCTTCTTTTATTAGGCCACAACAATTTAATTTGTTGGTTCTCGGATTCGCTTCATCATTTTTTTCTGATTTGCAAAAAAAAAAAAAGATTCTGGTTCTGAATCAACTCAAAATATTTTGCCCCCAACAGTTGAGGAAAGTCCTTTTCTTCCTAGTTGTTACAGTTTTCCCATCTATCAATGCAGTGCCAGTGGTATGATTAAAAGTTCAAAATCATTGTTTAAATATTAACCCAGCCTTATGTGTTGACTTAATGGATCCTATGGTAGCATTTGGGGCTATGATAGGATGCCTAGACCAATTTTTTTTCTCCCTGTCACTTCATATTTTTTATGACAAAATCTGAGAACCAACAAATTAAATGGGTGTTGCCTAAACCTTTCATAACATTGAGTGATTTTTAGAACACCACATGACTGTCTAATTTGATGATTTTGATTGGGTAACTTATGTGATTAATAAAAACATGATAAGTGCAAGTCGATTTACATATATTATATCATATACAAAATTAATGTATGATTGTGACTGTAAAATCTGGATTTCAATCCACCTTTTCTACATAATTGCTGCTCATCATATTTTAAGGGTAATTAATAAAACATTTTGTACCATAAACAAATAAAGATCTAAGTCTACAGACATGCAATGTCTTCTAGGCTTGTATATAAACATTGCTGTTTAAAGTGGCTGCTGTTATAAAGTGTGTATACTAGATATTAAAATGATATTAATAAGTTCTCATTTAGGCAATACACGTCCAGTTGAAGAGAAACCATATCACTGATTTAATAACCTTTGAAGAATTAAAAATTCATTGAAACTTCATTGATCTGTGTTGCTGCGTGATGTATTTTCAATTAAAATAGAATTTTTAAAACTAATATTACGTGTAATGAAACTTATTTACACAGACAACCCTGGTCTAATTCATCGTGCATGCGGAGTTCGAGTTACCAAGTTAAAAGTGATTACTGTTTTTTTCGAATGGCAATTCTTCTGTAGTTTGAAGGTTATCTGCAAGAGGGCGTGTTTGACCTGTGTGCAGCTACGCTATGCTCTTTATAGTAGTATTTGCTTGCAGAGGTAATCTGGCTGAAGACCGGCAAAAATCTTTCTGACCAGACATTGCCCCTACGGCCTCGTGAGCTACGGGATGGAGTGAGTGAGTGAGTGACAGATTTGGAGGAAGAGAGTCGAGTAGTTTCTCGTCTGTTTTAATTTTAGGACTCTAGAAGCACCACTTGCGCGCCACTATGCAAGCTTCGGGTTGTTAGTGCCTATGTCTAGTGTTAATCAATTTAGCCTCAATGTAAACTCAGTTTAAAACGCATTAGTCCCACGTCCGGAAAATTTCTATCGATTTTTTTTCACGAAGGCCACATTTGAGCTAGCCTTTAGGGCTCTATCAGTCTTCGGAAGTGGCTGGAAAGGGTAGAAATCGGCCAAATAGACAGATAACATGCCAGGGGAGCAGTGTCAGTTTGGACGCTGCAAAAAAAAAAAAAAAAAAAACTAAGAAAGATAACATTTTCAAAGCAAATGCATAATGTTTACCTTCGCATATGGTCTGATCTGTTAATCCTTACTCAAACACATTCATATGTATGTTCAGACAGGAGTCTAAATCCCTCCTACATTAAAATTGCAACATGATTTAACCAAACACCAGTTACCATGGTGAGAAACGTAACAAATCAGGCCATTGGCCAGGTCAGAGGTCACTCTTTGGAGAGGAAGAGGAAACGTAGCAAACGTACTCCTTTAGCGGCCAGTTTCTAGCCTCTACCAGGCCCCAGGGAGCGTCAAAATGTACTCTCTAGCGGACCAACTGCCCTGGTATGTTATCTGTTTTTCTATCAAATTTTTAGCCTTTCCAGCCGCCTCCCGGAGCCTGGTAGAGGCTAACCAATTCCTACTCTTTCCAGTCGCTTCCCGGAGCCTGGTAGCGAGTTTAGCATTAGGCCACAGCAGGTAATTTGTATGGATGACATAAGCACGCGCATTAATTTTCACCTGATTTTGGAAAAAAAAAACACAAGAAATTTGGTTGCCCTCTGACAGTGTTCAACATGCCGAAAATGGGCAAATATGTCTTGTCATGCCGGAACGTGGATGGCAGATAAATATGAAGAGAGGAGACAAGACAAGGCTATGATTTATTGTTTTGTCTTTTATTTTGACGCAGTGATGCATTTCACTCCTTTTATATATGATGTTGGCTGTGTATATGTGATGTTCCACTGAATCAAAACCATTTATCATTACAATGATTGAAAACTTTTATTTTTCAAAGTTGTTTCAGTGAGAAATGGATGTTGGAGTAGTTGGCAGTGAGCTTAGCACAACATAGGTATCATTTCTTGTGTAACAAGGTCAAATTTGAGAATGTAGGAAGCTTGTTTTTTTTTAGCCCGCCTTGTTTTTTTTCGGCCTATCGCATTAGATTTGGAGTCTGTCATCCATAGAATTTACTTGCTGTGGCCTTAGAGTTAACGTTATAATTACGTAGTCTGTAGATTCTGGTCACGTCAATATGATCCAATCAATATGAAATCCGTTTTTAGCCCACTGACCTTGCAATGTAAGGTTGAATAGACACGCACGTGCCGACGTGGTCACGTACGTACATGTATGACGTCAATTCTAGCCTTGAACACACAGGCACGACTACGAAACCATATTTGTTCAGTCTAATTATAAGTGTTTCATATAATACTGCAAAGGTCAGAGGATAGATGTTCTATTATGTGTAGATTTACGGAATGTCATATTGTATATGAATGAATGAACTTTATTGCTTGACAATCGTACAAGGTACAATGTGTGGCAGTAATACAACAATACTACAAATCTAAACTATCTTATTACATTTCTTATATATTGAACGTTTTTTAATGGTATCTGCGTACTTTTCGTCATTTTCCCGTAAAAGTTCTGAAGGAAATATACATTGTATTGGGTAATATAACTTTAAGCAACTTTACACAATTAATTAACGTTCTGTCGTCGGCCATAAAAAATAATTTGGATGTTTCTTACTCTATTATCTGGCATATTTCCTTATATTATTATACCAGGATTTTCTTTCAAACTGCGATACATGGTAAGAAATCATAAGACCGCTTGACAAGTTATTATGTTTACCGAAGAAAAACATATTATTTTTGCTCAGTTTCTTCCTCTTCTTCTTCTTCTTCTCCTCCAGTGACCTATGACCTGACCAATGACATGATTTGTTACGTCTGTCACCATGGTAACTGGTGTTGGGTTACATAATGTTGCAATTTCATGGTCTGCTCTGCTCCTGTCACCATATACAGTTGTACTAGTATGTGAATGTGTTTGAGTAAGCAGACCATGTCCGAAGGTAAAGATTATGCATTTGCTTTGCAAATGTTACTTCTCTAGTAATAAATGTATCACTAATATTGAATTTCGTTACATTTTCCTATTTCATCTTTTAAAAGGACAAGCATAGCCTAAATCAATGAACAACACGAGCAATTTTTCAGGCGTCAAGATAAACGCGTTGGACACCTCGTACAAAGAAACTCTGTAGTCAGGCACTTTTACGCCGGGCAGCCGGATTTGTAGTCTGCTGCTGAAGTTGTGGAACATGGCCGCGGAGATTCGGGTGTTGAACGAGGCTCGTCCTGCCGGGGACGTCTCCCGCGACTTACAGCGGCTCATGAACAGGTAAACTCACGGTTCTAACAGCCAACTCACTCCGTAAGTACCTAGGCTAGGCGTTACCGCAAACTGTGGGGTCGTGTGGCGTAGCGGTAGCGTGTTCGGCTCGGAACTAAGCTAAGAGAGGTCCCGGGTTCGAATCCTACCTTGCCACCGATCTTGTGCCCTTGGGAAAGGCACTTTCCACGACTTTCCTCACTTCACTCAGGTGAAAATGAGCATGCCATAATGATCATTATCATGATCGTGAGCACTAGAAAGAAAGAAGAAGAAGAAACTACGCAAAATTCCGTCACTCCGGCGACTAGTTCTAGCTCGTACGTACTAGTAAGAACTAGAGCTAAACGTCTAAGGGCGGGTCCAAATGAAAGAAATATACACTTGACTTCCACAATACTATGCTGCTGTGTTTGCCCTTGCATAGTTTAATGCCAAATGAATGTAGGTACAGTCACGAAAATGGGAAACAGGCGGAAATTTAATATTTGCAGACGTGTCCCGTGATTTTTTGTTGGCGTTCCGGTTCTAGCTAGACCAAACCATATATCGGGAAAAGGGTGGGATCAGTTTTAGGTCACTAAACTTTACCAGCTGTGGATGTTTTGTCAACAAGAGCTTGGCGCTTCGAATCGAATTTTATACACAGAGTTTTTGTTATGTAAAATCTTGTCAACATTCACTGCATGAAATCTGATATACATATATTAAAGCATAGATGAAATCGTCCACAAATGTTCCGGTTTTTAACTTAAAGTCCACTGAAATAAGCTATCATAAACCTTTAAAGCGAACTAAAAGGTATGCTTAAATATCGGATTTCATGCTGTCATTGTACGTATTTTGAAATGCCAAATTCCACCTATGCATGGCTCTTTAAGGGCTTGTTCATAAAGTTACCAGAGAGGGTTTGGCAGCTCAATGAGAAATTATAGTTTTTAGCCGTTAAATATGCTTTAAAGTTTTTAATTTGGTACAAAAAAAATCAATGGCCCACCACTGTGTGCTATATGTTTAAAGGAATAAAATACTAATAACCAAATATACTAATAACCAAGTGTGATGTTATAAGTGGAAGAATAGCTTTTGGACCTTCCCTGATACTTTAGTTTGTTTGCCCTGCTTTAAATTTAGTGTGATAAATTGTAGGGGTGTAATATTTCTTTCTGGTAGATGTCTTTAGCATTTTACAGCTGTAGCATGCAAAGACTAGGGGTTAGTGACCTTGCCTCTGGACCATAAGGTTGGGAGTTCGAACCTTGTTTTTTTGGCCCGCCTTGTCTTTTTTCGCCCGCTCGCATTTGATTTGGAGTCTGCGGAGGATGTCATACATAAAATTTACTTGCTATGGCCTTAGTAAAATTCTTGGTTTGATCTTGACACTGGGATTTAAGAATATGTTGGCAAACAGACTGAATAGCAATACCCAGGTCTACCATGCATGGCCAATTTTTTAAAAGCTCAAAACGTAACAACACTCAAAGACTCAAAGGCCACTTCAAGTTTACACACAGTATAATATGTCAGGTGAGAGATTGTGATCTGGTACATGTAAAATCTGTGATTCTAATGGTAGTCATCCTGCTCAGACTCTTTGTTGACAGAGACTTTTATCTACAGAAAATTACTTGAGAAATGCTGATCAATATTTTATACTATAGACCAGCAGGGATACGTCTTTGACTTTGAGGTACTTGATATATGCCTTTGCCTTAATGTAAAATACATAATTTATAAAATAGTTATTTCAGATTAATTACTAACCCCATGCAAGCAAATGCATAGCTGCATGGTATGCAATTTTCCATCTGATTCACTTATTGTAATATGAATATTATCACTTCTGATTCAGAATTGTCTTACTAGTACTTTGTCCTTGAAGATGTATGAAAACATTAAAGAGGGTCTGCATGGGGGGTCCTGGCAATGGTTAATGGTAAATTCAGCAGGGCCGACAATGCTTAACGGTAAATTCAGGACGGTTGGTAACGCTTAATGGTAATCCTTCAATAACGCATTTTCCTGTATTTTGATAGGCAAATTGACGACGGCTACTCGAGGTTTGACTAGTACGCAGGTCTACGCATAACGAAGAATTATTTAGTAATACTTAAAGCTGAATTTAGGATCATGACAAACAACACGCTACGTAGAATTAAAAGGACCAAAAACGCTTCACGAAGAATATACCGATAACGCTTAATGTTGAATTAGAGTGGGTCGGCCACAATTAACAGTGAATTAAAATAGCCCATAACGGTTAACGGAAAAGGGCATGCAGGCAGGCTTTTAGCTAGGATTTTTTTGGTGGGCGTCCATTTTTTTTATTGTATGCTATGCACAGTGAAGACATGCTGAGTGCAAGATTTTAGGGGGGCTTTTTTGAAATTCATAATGCTCTCAAACACTACTTTCTGCATTTTCAGGTGTAAATTTGAGTTTTTTCCTTCAGTAAACCATCATTTTTGTATTTATAGTAAGGCTGAAGGGAGGCATGTGTGCACGGCAAGGGTTGGGAGTGGAAAAAATACGGCGTCTTTAGGGTGTCCTACAAAAAAGTAGGGCGTCCAATTTCTTAGTATTTTCAGTACAGGGCGTCCAAAAGACACCCTGGACACCCCCTAGCTAAAAGCCTGCATGCAGGCCCTCATTAAATCATTCCCGCAGTTTGATCTATATCATGTAGTATGACACTTCTGAAATTATCCGAAAATAATTTCATCAGGTCAGAAGAACACATGAATTCTCTCACCGGCTTATATTTTGATGGCTATTAATCAAACACCTTCCTCAGGGCTTCTGACGGCAGGTTAAGTGCTGCTTCTCACTGCTAAGGCCACACCAAGTAATTTTTATGGATGACATAGTGAGTGTGAGCGACTTCCTCTGGAGACCCTAAATCTAATGCGAGAGTCCAAAAAAAAAGGAGGGCTGGAAAAAACAAGATGCCTACATCTGAAATAATATATGTACTAAAGGATGACAAATGTAAAGACACAAAAATTGAATGAGACTGAAAGAACTGTGAGTGTACCAACCAACAAGTCTCTTATTCTTCTTCACAAAAACAGCAATAAATCAGTGGAACAGCACTTGTCGTCCTGTCCTGTTTCTTTCCTTTTATCACATCTTCCCTTATCCCACTGCTTTTGAAGGCCTGCAGACACGTGCTCATTTCCCTTTCGTGTTATAGGTTTTACGATAAATTACGAGTTGCGGCACTCGTGACACTTTGGTCATAGTAACAGGAAACAGAATTTTCTTTTTTTTCTGGGAACAGGTGGAAACGTAAGCACTGAGAGTTTTACCAAATTGAAATGTGTAAAAGAAAACTCCACTTCAATCAGGCTTTTATGTTTGCAGAACTGGGCTACACTAGTACTGCACTCTAATTCCTTTGGGCCTAAGTAACCTATTCGTCCTACCTTGTCATAATTTGATATATTAAAGATCTAACAGTATCGGTATGTTTGACAGGGATACATAATCATATGAAGAAATTGTGCTGCAAAATGAGTTGCAAAATTCCAGCGTAGGAAAAGAGGAAGAAAAAATCAAAATACCAATACGGCCGGGACCTTTCATTTTAAATGCTGTGACGTTATATGCTCAACAATATGATAAAAAATGGTATTCAGAATATACAAGTGTACAACAAAATTAATTTCTGTATTAAGTATTTAATCATAGTACAGTCAAATCAATTAAGAGACTGAGGAAAAATGGTTGTTGACTGACATCATGATTGCTTATGACAAGAAGGTCATAAAATTGTACAGGCCCTGATGATTGGTTGCATAATTTAATGTGTCCTACTACGAAGTATGTGAATTGGTTGGCAGCGTCACTTGAAGTGATAAGTGTTCTTAAGGTTTCATCCAGGCATAAGCAGGCCTCGAAATGAACTTTTCTTACTATGTAATAAAAAAGTATGTATTGTATGACTTTTGTATGACAAAAATAGGAAATTTGAGCGGACCTTTCTGGATCCAAAAGCCAGGATGTGTGCCTGGTGAACAAAAGAAGGGCCGACATTCTGATGTTGATTATTCTTTATTGTCCCCAAAATGTCCCAAAGTGTCTTTATAATTGTCCGGCCAAAATTTTAGTGGCCAGTGGCCATCGAGACACGGGACAAATTTCGAGCCCTGATGAGTCTAATATTATCATTATAGTACTGTGTCCAACATTAGATCATTAATATAATGATAAGAGCTCCTAGTACTCTTTTGTGGTAGTAGTAGTGATTGATTTTATTTGTCGTTAAAAACATTTACAGTCTTACAGTGTGCGCTATGAACTGCGCACTGAATTGCACTGGAAATACAAACTGGCAAGCAAACACACAGCAGATTACTGGTATCTAAAAAGGATAATACTATTAATAGGGATAAATTTTCTTTGACACATTAATTAGGTAAATACAATAGAAAATACATATTATTAATACAGATCTTCACTTCTTACCGACTCGGAGTTATCATTTCTTACAATAGCTAAATCCATCCATCAATTTGAGAATAGTGTAACGCATTCGAAATAACATTTAAAAGGGACATGCTTTTATCAGCCTAGCTAAAATATAGTTATAGAGAAACTGGTTTTGACAGCATAAAGGAAAGGCTTTTATAAACCCACATGTCATTTGTTTTGAACTAGACAGATTGCAATTAATTATAGTGTACACATGTACATGTAGTTCCATTTGTTCTATTTCTCCATGTAGACTAGTTATACAGTAACAATAGTAAATGGAAGAAAGAGAAAGAAGAATCGGTTTGGAAATAGGTTGAAATAGGTTTAGATATAGCAGTAATTGAAGTTACAAAGCTTAATCTATCCGTCAAGAAATTCTGAACGCATTTGAACTTACATGTACATGTAACATTTAAAACTATGCTTTTTATATCAACTTACTTCAGCTAAAATATAACTTAAGGGAAACTGGTTTTGACAGCATAAAGAAAAGGCTTATATAAACCCGCATGTCATTTGTTTTGCACTAGACG